TAGAAATTATCACTGGCAGAAGATCTTGTTTCATAGGAGTGAATATCTTTTATGTAAGTAAAGAGTTTGCTAATATTACTGGGAATACTGAATCATATCATGCTTGTTGCCATGCCGTGATCTTAAAGTGCTACTCTGACGAAAATCGCTCAAACTTGGATTCAGCTGAAACTTCCTAAGAATACTCTTTAAAGGTCCAATAATCACTGTATGAAGTGTTTTCTCGATATTCAGGACGAAAGTATGATATTTTTACGACTATTTTTTGGAGTCTGTGACGTTATTCACTCAACATCGAACATCGCTCCATACATTTCTTTGTAGTTTATGATCAAAATATCAGTAGTAGAGGGAGAAAGAAATATCCAAACACCCCAAAATATAAATTATAGTCACAAGTAATGTGAAATAAGCACATAAGCCACCCTTTGGGCTTCATAGGAATAAAATAAATTAAGGATTTATATACAAAGAAATATATGTAGCAATGTTCGATGTTAAGTGTATGACGTCACAGACTCCAAAAAAATAATCGTAAAAATATCATACTTTCGTACTGAATATCGAGAAAACACTTCATACAGTGATTATTGCACCTTTAAAGAGTATTTTTAGAAAGTTTCAGCTGAATCCAAGTTTGAGCGATTTTCGTCGTAGTAGCACTTTAAGGTGGAACCAAACTAATTCAGAGCGAATTTTGGACAGTTTTGTTCTCGCTCACTTCGCAAAACTATTGCGTCAATTTAATTGTATTTTTCATATAATGTGCTTGGATTATCCTAGATTCTAACAGTACATTTTATTTTAAGATTTTTTAAATGTTTAGCCTATTACGGCCGAAAATCAAACAGTGCTATTTTTAGTTTTTGGCTTTTTTCTCCTCATCCCCCGTTAGGATTTTTCTAAAATTTTCAGAATCTTATCATCTAGTACTATTGCAGCATGTGTATAAATTTGGATGAAAAGTCTTGGGCAAAAAAAGTTATGACGCCGCTTGAAAATTCGATCCAAAATTTGAAGCATATAAAACTTCGCACTTTAGAAACATTACCATTGAATGGATTGCCTTGAAGTCTTCACATACCTATCTCCAAGTATTGCGGATGAGACTTACGAAAAATCAGCATCAAATCTTAAAAACTCATTGAATAAATGTTTTTTTTTACTAATTGCCGTTGTAAACCTCAAATATTAGAGTTTTGCTAAAAATTACATTTTCGCCTTTTTTTTCAAAACGGCTCCAAGTTTTTTCTTTAAACTTCCTACATCAATAGACCAGAGCTTTATCTAAATGGTAGTGAAATTTATACAGCTCGTGCTATCCACATTTTGGAGGAAACATTTTTWAAAGTGATATGTACCTAAATAGATCAGAGAAAAAGCCTATGTTTTCATATCAGTTAAACGAACAAAGCTTACTTTCACTTAACCAATTGACATCAGATTTTTATTGACAATAAATTGCGTCATCACATTGTCAAAGTAGTGTGGATCCACGAGGCGTAGGCGTAACCAATCAGCGCGCAAGAAATTTGTAAGTTATTGTAAAAAAAAAAATTGTCCTTTTTGTTCATATTAACCTATTTATCTTAGCGATCGAAAGCACAAAGCTTAGCATAAGGCACAAATAGATTGTCCTTCAAGATGGCATCAACGTTCTATAAACACTATATGTCCGGCAAAACTATCCTGGCTAACATGATTATGAAGTGCCAAGCAATTCCAAAGGACATTTTATTTATTGATAATTTGTCTTGTAGTTAAACATAGGCATAATATACTCGGCTTTGAGTTTGTGACACAATATATTTTCGCGCCCGGCAGAGCTAGAGTGACTGCGGTCTTTCCTTTCAACGATTTTCGATTAGAAATCCATTTCCATCAGCCTCAGTTCCATGTACGATTCCTTCATGATACAACAAAATGGAAGGATAAAGAATACCAGGCTTGGCTTGTGAATAAATGGTGTGTTTTGTGAAAAAGGTTACATCCCGGGCGTAGAGTGCATCTCACGGCCCAAACATAGACCAAATTACATACATTTATTGTATTTTATGGGGTACTTCTCCGCCCGGGATATAGTCTTCCCCGCATATGTATCTTGGCTTCGCTTTGAAACACATTTGGAATTAAGCCATTCTTACAATTCCTTCTACTTGTAGTTTTAAAACAATCATAAAAAGTAGTTTCTGTATTACTGTAGTGTGAAAAACCAAGAGAGCATAAATAAGAGGTATCATCATATGACCCGTATCTGCCCTGGCTCGCGCTCTTAGAAAAACCTTCGGAAAAATGGCGTGAACAGGGCCGTACGGCTTTGAGCGAGGAGGGTCGTACGGATCCTTATCATATGACCCGTACGGCCCTGCTCGCGCGCTCTAATAAAACCATTGGAAAAAGTCACGTGATGGGAGCCGGACGGGTTGACGTAAGCGGGCCGGAAAAACCCGTCCGGCCCTGCTCGAATCCGCGCGCTTTCTTTTAATTTTTTTTTTATTTTTTTCGTGAGGGTCATATGATAAAATGCTTATTGACTGAAGTAAGGTCGAGCCGTACGGGAAAATATTTGGCTCTCGGTCATTTGTACGGACCTCGCTGCGCTCGGTCCGTACGGCATCACCTCGAGCCAAATATTTTCCCGTACGGCCCTCCCACTCAGTCAATAAGTACATAGAAACTGCTTAATAACGCGCGCGCCATGTAAATTCCCGGGGTTGGCCTATTTTTAGTAACCGGATGCAGTGTAAATTTCGCCTTACCCCACTCCCGTGCGTKATCAACTTGCGCGCGCTCTCTTTCCGTATCGTTTTTAGTGATCAAAACCTGGTCTCCTACGCAGACGGTTGTAGTGTCGTCACGCCACGCTCACTCCCCTAAGTAGGGTACTTTCAAAACCTGGATCAAAACAATAAACGAAAAGAGTGCTCGCGCGCAAATTGATGACGCAGAAAAGGATCATGGGATAATTAATTCACAGTTACTAGCTGCCGCATATGTTATCTAACACGTCTTGAGCTCGCTGTTTTCGATCCCACTTAATTTGCTAAAACGATGCCTCGAGCATACGGCGAAGATTTAAACTGGCGAGCAGTTTGGATGACGCAAGTTCTGGGTAATTTACCCGTTATCCTTTTCGGTCTAGGCGCGTTTGGATGATCCGATCGACGACAACGTTTAGCCAAAGGACTGTATGAAAATTATATAAACAAGATAATAAAATACAATTATAAATATGGTAATGCTTCAAGGAAAGATAAATTACATATGCATCCATGTATATACATGCACAAGCATGCCAACTTCACACGCAAAATTCACATATATACACATATACGTATACATACACGCACATACACACATACATGTAAAACCTATTTTTAAATATGATAATTATATAAAATATAAACAGGATCCATTAAAATAAAATATATATATATATATTATACTAAAAGTTACTTAGTCCATGCTATATCTAGTTTTTGTTTTCGTCTTTAAATATTTATTCTATAAAGTCTTAATTGTAGGTGGTAGCGCATTGAAGGCCTTTGATGCCATTAAATGCTGGTTATCTCAAAAGCAAGACCAGGACACCCAATTTTTTTTCTAGACTTGGAATCAGCATTAAATTTCAATTCGGAAAATCGAAGTTTAAAAAAGTCAGTGCATCCGGCACTCCAGGATCCAGAATCCAGGATCTTGAATTTACGCACACGAAAGCGAGGCTGACGAGTTTATTTTTCGTTACGTAGCAACTCAAAGTAGAAACAAAATGGCGGACAAAATGGCGGACAAAATGGAGTAAAACAAAAACTTAAAGGGTTTCAAAGCAAAATAATGACTTTAAGAAGCAATATATTCCAAGGAATTAATCGAGAATAACTCTAGGAATAKAATAAAATTCTGTCTGTGGGTTTTATTTACCCTTAAAAGAGCTTAATCATGGAAAAAATGGCTCAAGACTTCAACGGTGTGATGACAAATGGAGCGAGACAACCRACTAACAACGCGAAAAGTGACCCTTTTGCACTTCCAGGGATCGATGAGAATAAACTACGATCAAGGATTTACTGTAAACCTCAGTTATCTCCGTATTCCAAGGCGTTGAAATTTTCTGGACCAACGCCAGTGCAAGAAAGAAAGGTTAGCAAGTTTACATTACGACTTGATTGTCYGTTTGAAAATTACGCTATAAAGATGACAGTTGATGTACTCACCATAGTTGTGGTTTGTTTATAGAATATTCCTACAGCACCAAGACTTGAACCCTTGGTAAGTTTCTAAGTCTTGATAAAAAATCCTGTATCATTGAGCAGTTCAGACCTAAAATAACACTCTTTTTAGCTATAAAATGTCAGCTTACATGCAATTTTATTTTATTAAGCTTACGACTTTCTGAAACCTACGAAGAACAGAGTATATGTTTTTTAGYGTAATAAAAATAATTAGTTTCCACTTTAAAAATCAAGAAGCCTAGTATTAAAAGAAAGATACACTGTAGAAGTTAAGAAATTCTCTGTTAGATCTCTTTTGAATTTTTTATTATCGAGTTTTGCAAGTATTGAAAATACAGTTCATGATATTTGCTCTTTCTTACTCAAAGCCAAACCTTGCAAGGTACCAAGAAAGACAAAAGAATCTTCCAGCTTCAATTTTAAAGAAAAAGAGCCCATCCCCACCACTGACTGGTGAACCTGATAAGAAGAAGACCTGTCGTAAGGACTCAGTTGAACCACTGGATCGCACATCCTCACCCTTGCCTATGCTCCCTGAGGAGCTGAAGCAAAAACAGCAGCAAATAGAAGCAGCGGCACAAGCAAGGAGCCAGAGACTGCCGACACCCCCTAAGGAAGGTTCAACTAAGCACAGGGGTAGAGTAAGCATACAGTCCAAACCTACCATCACACAGCCACAAGACAACTTGTCGCTAGAGGACATAAGAGATCCTCTAGAAATTCTGAGATTGATTCGGAAGAATCCAAAACTGGGGTTCCTCTATCTAACCCCTGCAGTAGATAGGTCATCSATCGAGTACAACCCTTACAATGTCAAGTAAGTATCTTTTTGGGGGGAGGGGAGTCATAGAAATTGCATGGAAAGGGGGACGGATGGAAGAGCCTGGAAATGAAATGGRTAGCCCATTGAAAGGCGTGGGAAACCATATAACATATCACATATGCGGTGCCAGAATCTGTGTCCATCATTGAAATTTAAAAAATTCTTCCTAATGAACCTCTCTCCCACCCTCAAGGATGAGCGAAAATAATTGATGGTTTACAGCTGTACCTTCTATCTGGCTATGCATTTACATGTAACTTCTCTATTCTGACAGTGAAGAAATGCAATGCTCCATTAATTYTCCTAATATTTTAACCACCTAAATTAGGATTGTGAGGCACTCAGACATYAACCACCAGGACCACTCTACCATAAGCTCAGAGGGAGTTACACATGTCTATGATAATGAGGCAGAGTTCACGTCCCTTGAGAGATGGGAAAAGGAATACCTGGACTACAAGAGGCTGGTCAAAATACCAACATTTGCGAACTTCAGAATGTGGAAGGCTTTCGTTGTCTGGAGAAAGAATGTCAGGACTAAGTAAGTTTTGACRTAAAGGGTTGTATATTATAGTGATTAGTGCAATAGTCCCTTTTCTCATTGGGTCAATACCACTGTGTTTTATGAGTAAACTAGTTATCTGCACAGGGTTAGCCTCATTTAAGAGTGAATCATTTGCAGCTGTTATGTGGAGCATCAGCAGCTTAAACAATATACCAATGTTTACAAATCCTGTGCATTTTAATGGTGTATATGAATAGATGACTTAAAAACAAAACTAAGCCTGTGTACAAATAATTCTTGTGGTCTTCAAAAACAATGTTATTAACGTGTGTAGTGACTCATCTCTAGGGTTAATATCAGGCTTGATTCTAGACACAGCCACACAAGCACCTAAGGAAGCTGTCAAGATTCCTGACAGCCATAGTTGTGCCATTATTGATCATTAACATATGCTTTACGGAAAAAAAAGTGTTCTATATAACTTGGTTAAGGCACTGCGCTTGGTATTGATTTGTTACGAACCTCTTTCCCTCAGAAAAATCACTCACTGTAGAAACAGCCTTCAAGAGAACTTGTTTATTGTGAATGGTGTAAGTATTAAAAATAAATTAATGATTAATTAATAACTTTTTATTAATTGATGTGGTTTTTAGAATATTTAACAATTATTCACCAAAGGTAAAGTGAATATTAGAAATTACCACACTGTATTTACCAAGACGAGAGTCTTCGAACACACACACGAAAAAAAAATAACAGAGAAAGAATTTTTTCAAATGTTATTTATCTCTACAAGAGGCACTCACCAAAAAAGGAGCATGCACATGCTTGTTATAAGGGACATAAATTGTGACCAATGAGCTTGCCACATTTATTATATTCACTTGTGTAAAAAACCATGTCTAAAGTAAACTCATAATTCATGAGAAAAACATTACTAAACTTAGATGTATTTGTATGGTAAAAATTTCTTTTCAAATYGTTTTCAGTCTCTGAGGCCAGCTCTACTAAATGTGAGGGAAATGTGCTATCGTATCAGTGACATGGGACTTTGCAAGGTTGAAAAGGGGCATACCTACACACTGGACGAATTCAGGAATGCTCAGTTTCAACAGCTTGAAGAGGTATGTACATTACCTCCTAAATTGTTTAGTCATATGCATTTATATTATGTGCATGCACCAAATATTTTTCCTACCCATAATATCAATGATTTATTATGCCGATTCAGTTGAATAAAGCAGTTTCATATGATCATGAGTGGGAACAGCCAGTGTAACCACTGTGTAAAACCTTGGCATAGTTAGCTGAACATACTCCTTAAAAAATTCATCTTTGGGTCCTTGTATACTCCTTGAATTAAGTCCTTGAATTTTAAGTGGGTACACCTCAGTCCATAACATAGAAATGGCTTCCCATGTGATTTCCAGTACTTAATCCAACATCCAATCACCACATAACATGGTAAAAGTTTGGTATAAATTCATTAAACTRCATATATATGGCTCTAATGCTGGCAATAAAATTAATTATATATTTTAGCATTTGACAGTGTGTCTAACTGCAGTTTGATGCATCCTTTAGGTTGCAGGGAGGCTTGCAGAATTTAGAGACCTTGTTAAAGAAGTTGTGAGAAGTGCATGCCGAACTGCTCTYCTTGAGGCAGGGTTTACACCAGATGACTATTTCATGGATTTGGAAAGTCCTTCTGGCATGTATGGAGGTTGGTATTAAGCCCTGTTTACACTGGTGATTTTTGYRGTGATTTTTGCTGTGAATTTTGTGGCAATTTTCGGAAATTTGAAATCTTTTGTCTCATCCTTCAAAAGAGACATTCGTCTAGGAAAATCTTGGTATTCTGAAAAAAACTTTWCAAGTAAATCCTTTACCATCATTTATTATGGACAAAATTGTGAAAAAAATCGCAGCAAAAATTTCTGCAAAAATCGCTAGAGTAAACAGGGCTTTACACTACCCATTAATGACTAAATTGTTACCCTTTGTCAATGAGTTCATGACATTCCTCACTATCACATTTAGGGACACTTCTTTTTTTCATGTTCAATGACCTTCTGTCAATTCTAATTGAGCACTTTAGTTAGACTTGTAGCTAAAAACRTTATTCCATGTATGGCATAATGAACAAAAATGTTTGTTGCAAAGCCTCATTCAATATCATATTATAATTTTAGAAGCAAAAAGGTTGAGGGCTACAGCTCCTTTTAACTGCCCCACCCTCTAAGACCCCTGTGTGAGGGAGGCATTGCTTACATGTAGCTACATTTTCATGAAACAAGTGTATCCTATTGGTTAAGTTTCAAAAAAGGTGTCTGTTCTAAAGGGAGTTGACACTGAAATTATTATCATCAGCAATGATCTATTGGTAATTTACAGTTTTCATCAAACTTGATGTTGTAGATGAGATGGACCCATCTGGCATGGGACAGTCACCTTCATCGTACATGATGGCTAATGGTTATGAAATGGATGTGTATGGTGATGCACCAGACAAGATGACCTACACTGAGCAAGCTAACAAGAGAAGCCATTGCAGAAGACTTACAAGGTACTGTATCAATBAAGTCTGGGCATAGCTAACTCACACATCAAATTGGAATTAAACCTGTTAGGTCTTGTGGATAGAGGATTGTACAGAAGAAAAGCCCTTGGATCAAAGCAGAGTCCTGTTTAAAGTTCTATCAATAGTTGGCCGAAGGCAACCATCAAATTCTGCTGTGACACCTTGTAGGATACAAATCTACTTTGATGAGTTATTTTGCATTCTGATCATGTCATTTAACAGACCAACCTTGTTAATATAAAGCGTGTTAAAGGAAACAAAACAAAGGCAAGCGTGTCAGCCTTGCTCCCCCCGCCAGTCACAGCATGCGTAGCATAACCATGTCATATCATATGCTAATTAAGTGTGCAATGTCATCTCACCATGTCTGTGTCATCACCTTTTTACCTGAAGTCCTGTTACCATCACAAATAGTTCTACTACTGACAGTACATCATGACCAGTTTATCAACCAAATGATTTAAAACTGTCATTGAATATATTTGTTGCTACACTAAAGGTTTAATCGAGAAATGATATTTTTTGTAAAATGATGACCTACAGTATTTGCATTCTTTTTTAGCTTCATACGCCTTGCCGACTACCTTATCGTTAACACCATGCATGTCCTAGCTGTCAATTCAGTCGCAACCATGTTGAACTATCTTGAAGAACAGCTTCAGCATGCACCATCATTAGCAGCAATACTGGGGAAAGAACAAGAGGAGAAAGAAAAAAGCGAAGAAAGTGACTCAGTTGAGTTAGAAAAAGTAAGAAAAGGATAATAATTATATAATTCATTCAACCTTTCATCCACCTAGGGCCTACCTAATCATCCGCCCATTCATCCATCTATTCACTTACCCATCCATTTCTCCATCCAGTCAGTACGGTATATTTTATTTTGCTTTTCCTTCGCGTATCATCATTGCACCTCGTATGATTTCTGTTTGACCCCATTGAGCCGCACCACCKGTACTTTGCAGTGCATGGTGATTAGTGATGACAAGTTTATCCACTCATCCATCATTCTATCCATGTTATTTATACCCACCCATACATACATCAATTTCCTATCCTTCTACCTATCAATACGATCCATTATACCACACATAAATGATAATGCATTCTTCAATAGTCACAATTTATTTTATTYCATTTTTCACAGGAACAAGTTGAGCTGGTTCCTCTCTACACCACAGAACTCTTAATGGAACCCCAAGCTCTGCTCTTCTTCCCCGGTCTTGATGACTTTGAAGAAGGTCTGGGTGAGGTCATCAAGAGGTTCCAGGATGCTGTTCTCAGTGTGATGAACCTAGTTCCTGATCCTTATTTTGATGCTTTCACAAGGTGTGTATAAATGCAGCTAGTAGTAACTTTATGGACTACTTCGACAATATGCAATGCTTAATTATTTACCATGAAGACTTTTAGGGAACAGTCCTATTGTTTGCAGCAGTGACTATTCGTTTGGTGCATATCTTCAAATCATTTGTAGCCTGTGAACATGGCTATCCGGTGAGGGGACTGGGGAGGGAAAGGGGGACTTCCCCAGTCTCCTGCCTGGAAAGCCATGTTCACAGGCTAAATCATTTGTAAACAAGAAAGTAGACTTTGTGAAACTGTGATGTTAATACACTAAAAGCACATAGAAATGGAAGTGACAGTATTGCTGGACTATGACCAATCTATGTTGATTGTGTTTGATCTATATATGGATTCTTTTCCAGACCTATTATAAATGGAAAAGTTGAAGAAAAGACAGTTGGTGAAGGACCAAGCCTTAGCACCATGTTTGAAGATGATAGACACTTACAAAAGATCATCCAGAGTATAAGGGTAAGTTGTATGTTTAAAACACCACTAAATGAATCTGCATGTCATCATAAGACCTTGAGAAACTCTTATATCATTGTGTCAAATAGGACTTTGCAAAGAGGGAGCATATCCCCTAGACTCGCCACTTACAGTATGTTTTTAAGTCATGTGTTTCAAACATCACTATATGAATTTGCATGTCAGCATATTAAGACCTTGAGAAACCCTTATAACATTGTGTCAAATAATGGACTTTGCAAMGAGGGAGCATATCCCCGAGACTYGCCACTTACAGGATGGCCCCCCACACAACCACGAGGCACATAATGCAATAGTTGCCAATGCTTGAGCTTGTAATAATGTTCTCTGATTAATTAGATCCATGCACATTTCACAAGCTGTAGTAAATAAGACGTCAATCATGTACAGTCTTACTTCATGTCATAAATTGTTAAGCAATACACTTCAGAATGATAGTTTAAGGCCTTTTAACTGTTGTAAAAACAATTTAGCTGCAATGAATGTGTCTATTTTCCAGGATGCCATCTCCAGTGCATATGACATTGCATGGCAGTATGCCAACACATTTGAACCCTACAGGCAGTTCTATCAAGAGAATGAAAGTCTTGATCTGGAGGCAATCAGAGAGCAAGAACATGGTAATCTATATAGAATATTTTTATAAAATTCGTGCAGTTGTTGGTGGTGGAGGTTTTTCGTTTTGTGTAAGGAGGAAAGAAACCTGAGAATAAACAACCGTCTACAGCACTCATGTCTGAACAATGTGAGACAAGCATCACGCCCCCACCCCAGCAACTTGCAGACGTCGTAAACACACTTTCATTGCTTCCCTGCATTTTACTTTACCTTTTGCAAACCTTCTCACCAAAGAAAAGTTGCTTTACTAATTCTAAAGACATTTTGAAGATGCTTGTCAATTAAAGTTTCACTTTTTGTCGTTAATGAGATGCTTACAATCTGGCAATCGCGAAATCGTACAAATTGCTGTCGCGACAAAAGAAGTTTTTCTTGGAGGTCAATTAAGGTGTTTTCATGGCATTTTCGGAAAACGCAAAATTTTCAAGGGCACGTGCCTATGGAATGTCATGGAAACGCCTTGATTGACGTCCACCAAATCTACTTAACCGCGGCGACAAGTTGTACGATTTCGCGCGTTTAATTGGAAAGCGCTGTAAACTCTCTAATGAATTCCTGGTCACAGGTGTTATGGAGAAGAGTTTTTACAATTGCTCTGTTCTTGCTTCCCATTATAACTCAAAGTTCATATCTGTCTATTTAGATGTTGAGTTTTTCGCCACATCACTGGATAAGTACACCAAGGAGCACGATCAAGCTGTGGCTATCCAAGAAAAGAAACCTATTGGAATGATACTCTGTGATCTGAGGAAACTCAAGGAAGTGTTGATACCATCTCCACTTAAGTGTCTGGAGGTGATCAATGACATCCTGCCAAAGTTGGCCAAAAAGAAAACAGATGAATTGATGAAGTTTTGCCAAGACGCACAGTTTGAGTTGGAGTTTTTGCCTTCGAGTACAGTAGAGTATGTCAAGACTCTGACATTCCTCGATGACATACAGGAAAAGGTATTTTARTTTGAACTAATGTTCATCCAAGCAGCACTTTATAGTGCTTAATACGTCGATCTTCAAGGTTTCATAAGTACACTGAGTGTTACATCTTCTCTGGTCTTTAATTTACAGATTGATGATATCGAACAAGATGCAACAACTATCAAGGAATTGTATGAGTTAATCGATACGTACAAAGTTCCCACGCCACCAGAAGACTTGGCTGTTTACCAGGTATGAACATCATTAATGAATTTATAAAAACGCATAATGATGATGCGGTTGTAGTATGTTGACGTCGATGATAATTGAACTGAGGTTTTGATAATACTGGATGAAGATCCTTGATGATGATGCGAGATGATGGTGATGATAATCTTGATGGTACTGATCACGCGATAATCTTTTATGATGGTAATTCGAGATGATGGTCGTGGTGATGATGATGATGATGATTATACTGGACAAACATCCTTGATGATGATG